GGCTTCGGCGAATGGGGCGGCATAAAAATGTTTTAATAAATAAATAATAAATAAATAAACTTTCCTCAGGAACCAAGGGACTACTGTCGTGGTAATGATCCAGAATTCAGTGTGATGAAGATGCTGATCTCCCAAAGATCTAGATGAATTTTCTCATCCGTTTTGGGTATTGTGAAGTAGTGGGAGTAGAACCTTGCTGAATTTGATGTTGCAGGACATGCCAGATTGTTTCTTTCCCTAGAAGAAAGGTTATCTCTCTAAAGTTAGAATATGTGAGGATGCTGTTCCATGCACAATGTCCAAAGGCAGGAGGCAGGGAGACAGATTCTCTACCTTGGCAGACTATTGATAAGACTCATGAATCTCATGTAATACTAATCCACACTTCAATGAATTTGGGTGCTGAAAGTGGTCTGGAAGGGAAAGAGCAGCCTGCTAAGTGAAGAGTCAAACAACATTTTTTGACCAAGTTCCCTTCCTGTGAGTTATGCAGAGCAGGAGTATTGGGACTTCCTAGAAAATCGCTGTTTGAAGGGATAATTTCCACATCTGTATGGTTGGATGTACTGGTTTAATCAATAAGAGCTGTTTCAGTATGGAGGTTTTGCTGGTCCTTGGCCCAGACCCATTTGTTCAGCTGTAGTCTTAGCTTTTGGGACTGAATCTCCTGCATCATTGGTCTTATCACTGAACAACCTTGCTTAATCAAAAGGCAGGTCCTCAATGTGGGAGCAAGCCTCAGGGGTCAGCCCAGGTATGTCGTGTTAATGCTACTGCTCCCACCATTTATTTATATTTAATACATTTATATACCACCCAATAGCCAAGGCTCTCTAGGTGGTTAACAAAAGTTAAAATTAAGCAAAAGTTAAAACCACACACACAACAATTAAAAGAACAACACAATTGCAATTTCTATTATTCAGCATAGAAGCACAGCAGCAATACAGAAATAAAATGGGATACATAAAAAGAAAGTTTAAAGTTAGTTAAAATACAGAGAAAATAAAAGGTCTTTTACCTGGCACCAAAAAGAATACAAAGTAAGAATGGAAAGCTCATTCCAAAACTGGGGTGCTACAACCGAAAAGGCTCTCCTCCTGGTAGCCATTCATCTCACCCCCAAATATGACCTCATGTTCCAGGGAGGTATACATGGGAGGAGGCAATCCTTCAGCTAATCTGGACCCAAGTAATTGAGAGCTTTGAATCTTAGTACTAGCACTTTAAATCAGGACCACACGTTAACTGGCAGCCAGTGTCACATAATGTGTTCTCATGAGCCAATCCCCATTAACAATCTTGCAGCCCTGTTTTGGATAAGTTGAAGTTTTCAGAAAGTTTCCAAAGGCAGCCCCACATACCGCCCATTATAGTAATCCAGAACAAGTTACCTAACTGTAGCTAGGCTCACTCTGTCCAAATAGGGTTGTAGCTGGTATATCAGTTTAAGCTGATAAAAGATACCCGGTGTCACAGAGTCCACTTGTGCCTTGAATGATAATTCTGGGTCCAGGAGCACCCCCAAACTACAAACTTTGCTCTTTAGAGGGAGTGCAACCCCATCCAGAACAGACTGAAATTCAATTCAACTACAAGCATCAAGCTGACTTTTGGAACTCTGCACCCTCTTAGGGTTGAAGTTAGTGCACTGAACTCAGAAAGGCGAGTCAGAGATCTGATCCCCTCCCTCCCTTGCAGCTGATGTAGAAAGAACCACACCAGCTGCCCTCTGAGGATGGCAACTTGACTTTGAAGAGGGTGAAAGGGGACATTTCAGTGGACAGGAAGGTAAGGAGACTAGGCAGACCAAAATGCAAGTTATCCTGAGGCCTCTCCATCCTCCCTCTCTCCTCTTCTGAAATAACGTCATCAGACAAATGAAAAACCCCATCTTCAAAGAAAAGCTTTGGGAGGACTGGAGGCTGAAAATTGCCTCCATTCCTCTCTCCCATTATAGAATGACAATAAGTATCTTAGAGATACTTAGAGATACACTGAGAGCCAGTGTGGTGTAGTGGTTAAGAGCATGGGACTGTGACTCAGACAACCTGGGTTCTAGTCCCCGCTCAGCCATGGAGCCAGCTGGGTGACTTTGGGTCAGTCACAAACCTTCAGCCCAACCTACCTCACAGGGTTGTTGTTGTGGGGAAAAGATGGAGGAGCAGAATGATGTAAGCTGCCTTGAGCCCTTTGTAGGAAAAAGGCAGGATATAAATTGAAAAATAAATTAAATAAATAAAGTACCTGAGTTCAGGGGCTTTAAATTATCAAGGGCAAATCAATATGATAGCATGCTGATTTACTCCGCAAATGGCATAAAGATACTCAGAGTGGAACCTCTCCTGATTTACTCTGCAAATTGCATAAAGACACTCAGAATACAAGGCAAAGAAGCTGAGAAGCAGCCATGCTGGATCAGACCAAGCTTAATCTAGTTCAGCATTTTGTGCACTGTGTCCAACAAGATGCCTATGGGAAACATACAAGCAGGAACATGAGTGCAATAGTCCCCTGCTGCACATGCTATCCTGGCTGAGAAACTGATGAGCTTTGGGAGAGATCAATACACCATTCGATGGATTAGGGCATGGTTGACTGACTGCAAGCTGAGTGTAACTACCAGTGGGGATATCCGGATGGTAGCCTGTGATCAACAGAGTCCCTCAAGGCTTAGTTCTGGGACTAAATCTGTTCAAACTTTTTATCAATGATCTGGAGGAGGGGGTCACGAGTTTGATGACCAAACTCACAGATAATACCAAAGTGGGGGCAGTGGCCACAATGAAGGGGCAGGCACGCCAGATCCAAAAGGATCTGGACAGACGGTGCAAGTGGACGGGGGACAACAAGATGGTGTTCAATACAGATATGTGCAAGGTCTTGCACCTGAGAATCAGGAATAGGTGCCATAGGTACAAGATGGGGAACAAATGGCTGGAGAGCAACACTTGTGAAAGGGATCTCAAGGTACCTGTGACAGCAGGTTAAACATGAGCCAGTAGTGTGATGGGGCTGTTGAGAAGGCAATTCCACCCTTGGATGTATAGCCAGAAGTATGGCTTTCAGAATGAGAGGAGGGTGGGTTACTGCTCTGTAAGACTCTGGTGCGCCCACTACTGGAGTACTGTGTCCAGTTCTGGGCTCCACATTACAAGAGGGAAATAGCAAAGTTGGAATCAGTTCAGTGCAGGGTCACAAGGATGGTAGTTGGATTATGGGGGGGAGGGGGGGATGCCATATGAAATTGAGAGAACTGGGTCTTTTCAGCTTGAAGAGGAGAATCCAAGGTGACATATAGATAGGTGAAGGGGTGTCATATGGTATTGAGTTGTGACCTGTTTTCCCATATGGTGGAGGGAAGGACATGATCCAATGGGGTACAGCTAAAGGAACTCGGTTTCAGTTAGGATGTCAGGAAGTACTTCCTGGCGGTTAGAACCCCTAGGAATGGGCTTCCATGGGAGGTGGTAGAGGCCCCATCAGTGAGAGTATTCAAGGAAAGACTGGACAACCACATGTTCAACATTACATGAATAGAGCCAGCTTGTGCTGGGGATCAGACTAGATGGCCCAGGAAGCCCCTTCTAACTTACTATATTTCTATATTCCCAAGCAAGTAGAACTGAGAAGCATACTGGCTCAGATACTGGAAGTGATATACAGTGGTACCTCGGCTCACGAACACCTCAGTTCATGACCAAATCAGGTCGAGAACAGACATTTCAGAAAAAAATTGCCTCAGGTCGTGAACTCCGTATCAGGTGACGATTACGATTGTCCTTATCTTCCCTGCACAGGCGAGATCACAGTCATGCTCGGGGGGGGGGGGGGGAGATGGTCGTGATCGCGCCCGTCTTCCCTGCCCGGGCACGACTGCACCCGTCTATGGCCACGGTCGCGCTCGTGCAGGGAAGATGGGTGTGATCACGGTCAAGCTCAGAGGAGAGAGATGGCTGCGATCGCATTTGCACTTGTGCAGGGAAGATGGGCATGATCGCGGTCATGTGTGTGTGGGGGGGGAGATGGCCGCAATCTTTGCTGTTCTTTGTCACTTTGTTAATCACATTTTTTGATTAACAGATTAACCTTATTTACATTGAACCTTATGGGGAAATTTGACTTGGCTCATGACCAATTTGGGTCACAACCAGAGTCCTGGAACAGATTAAGTTCGTGAGTCAAGGTACCACTGTACAGTCATCATGACTAGTAAGTTTCTCCATGAAATTTGCCTAATCTTTTCAAGCTGTCCAGTTTGGAAACTTCAGTACCTCTTGTGCAAAAGAACTCAACAGTTTAGCTATATGCTGTGGGAAGTACTTCCTTTTGTCTGCCTGCATTTGTCACCTTTCTTCTTCACTGGATGACTCTGGGTTGGCAGAGAAAAAATCTCCTGGCATATCATGCATAATTTCAGTCACAGTTATCCTGTCCACCTCTATCTTTTGTTCTAACTAAGGAAATGTATTTTCTTAGAATGCAGGAATCACCATTTGTTCCAGTGGAGATTCCTACAGTCTAAAATCATTACAGTTCAAGAAATAATTGTGTATGAGTATGTTGACACCCACACAAAAGCTGGGATCACAACTGGAGTACACACCTGTTTTAGAGAAGATAAGTTGAAGGATGAGGGGTCGTCTGGTGACAATTCCAGAGCCACGGGGTAGGAAATCTCTGCAAAAAAGAAATAAGAAGGCAATGTTACTTCAATGGTATAACACAGACATTAAAATAATTTGTAAACAAAAAAGGTTTAAATCCTATTTAGTACTTGCTATACTGCAACCAGACAAAGCTTACAGCATGGTGTCATGGCCATGCATTCTGATGCCTCCATTAATGACAAGGTTGGTATAATTTTTAGAAAGATGGAAATAAGATTAAGTTTATAGGAAACAGTTCTATGCTGTCTTGGTATGATAACAGTGCTTACAATTCAACATTACTTTTATCAATGATTTTTTTCCTTTTATTATACTTGTTTCCTTTTACTATACTTGGAGGGGTTTTTTAGACTTTTTATTTTTGTTCTAAATAATATAAATTTAAAAAACAATAAAATTAATATAGTAACAATAAACATAATTAAACATTACTAGTAAGCATAATTAAACAATACATTAATATCAGTGCTACCTCCACCAGTACCAACAAATCTAGTTACTTAATGTAAGATCATTTATTCATTCAGGTTGCCCCACTTCACCTCCAGAACTGCACTGACTCTTGTGGTGGTCCATACCTCTTTCCTTTTATTAAAATGTATTCAGTAAAAGGTTTCCAAATATTTTCAAATTTGTTTTCACTTATCAGACCTTTTTCCATTCAATATCACAAGTTAACTTATAATAGCAATGTTGCAGACTTCTTTATACCAGTAAACTATATGATATACACCTTTAGTTTTCTAATTCCTTCCTATTATTAATCTTAATTGCTGTTAATTAGTCATGAATTTTTAGAATTTGGCCCATTTGTTATCTAAATAATAATAATGCTAATCCAGGGTCAACTGCAATATTTAAATTCAATATTTTACCAATTTCTTTAAAAACCATTTCCCAAAACTCATTTATATATTTACACTTCTACTACATATGGAAATATGTACCAACTTCTTGGTTGCATCTCCAACACACATTGGAATATTCATTATTCATGTAATTCAATTTAACCAGAGTTAAGTACCATTTCCAATCCAGTCTATACAAATTCTCTTTAATTCTTATCGACAAATGTTAAAATTATTTTATCCCATATGTTATTCCATTCTTCAGCCACTAATATTTCTTTTTAGATCTATTTCCCAAGACTCTTTAAGAGGATCATATTGCTCCTCCTCTTCTGATAATATATGGTAAATTTTACTTATCATTCCTCTCAGCCACATATTATCTTGTTTTTCTTTCTGTAAAATTACATCTTCAGATTTAGTATATTCCCTGCATTTACCATTTTTCTTCAACCAATTTTAGTCCAGTAATCTAATTGAAGTATATTATACCAATTTACTTTACCCAGTCCCATTGTTGCTTTTATCATTTCTTTGCTCTTCACTTTCTCTAACCAATCTTTCAACAGAATAAACGTGTTTACTATTCAGTACTTCCTTCAAACTATTCCTCAGATTCGCTGGGAATCTAATTCCATAACTGGATATAACAGCAAAACCAATTAGATAAATATATCCCTATATTTATTCCAAAATCTGACCATATTCTTAAAAAAGGATTTCCTATCTTTTTAATAAATATTCTTATTATCTTGTTGAAGAAAGATATTTAAAAAGGATTCCTCTACATCTTGATTTTCTAATTTAACCCATATTAACTTATCTGGCTATAGTATACTGTCTGGCATATGCCTCATTTCATTAGCTATGTAATAAAATTTCACATTGGGAATATCTAACCCCCTTGTTTTCTGGGGTATACATTATCTTTTTCATTAATCCTTGCTTTTTTATCCCCATTACAAAATGTATTAATCATGTTTTGCCATTCTTTCAACTCTTTCTCTGTTAACTTAACTGGTAACATCATAAACAGAAAATTAATCTTAAGTAAAATCTTTATTAGAATGCTTCTGTTCTCCAAAACCATGATAAACCAGTCTTAAAATTCATTCATCTTCCCCTTCACTTCATATTTTAGCAAAATGTTCTCCTTTAAAAATTGCAAAATTTTGTAATATTTACTCCAAAATACTTAATAACATTACATATAACTTCTAGCTTTCTTTTAATCTCATCCTTTTCCACATTATTACAATTAAATATCATTTCTGATTTATCCTAATATACTTTTAAACTTGTTATTTCTCCAAATTTTGTTAAATGTATTTTAATCTAATCCATAACCTTAACTGCATCCTTTATTGTTGATAATGGATCATCTGAAAATAAGCTAATCTTAATTTTATTCTCAAACCCTAGACCTGCTATTAAATTATCATTTATTAAATTATCATTTATTCATTAGCACTATTATTAGCAATATATTTGCTAGCAGTTTTATAACTAAAGCAAACAAAATCGGAGAAAGAGGGCAACCCTGTCCAATACCTTGGCCTTGGGATATTTGGACTGTTATATCATCATTTACTATTAAAGTTGCAAAATTCCTTGAATATAATTGATTATTCTATTTCTAAATCGTGTAGCAAATTCCATTAATTCTTACATTATGCCATTACATTCGCAAAGTCATGCCCAACTCATCCCAACCCCATGGACAACATTCCTCCAGGCTCTCCTATCCTCCACCATCCCTCTACACTACCCTAAATATGGGCTTAGAACAGGCAACGGAAACTATCAAGCAGCACATAGCAGATATTGAGAGACAAAGTGACCTCAATAGTGCTCCAGAATTGTATCTTAGGGAGGACTATAGACACACTGCAATACCTGCATCCTATCTCAAACAATTCGAACTGCACAAACACAGAAGGGCTTTTACCCTGGCCCAGACTCCCCTTGGCAGTTGCTATAAAAAGATCCCCTGGTCAGAGCAGCTTTGCCCCTTTGGTATGGAACACATAGAAACTACAGAGCATGTCCTGCTGCAATGCACATTCTATAGGGATATTCGAGCTGCATTCATTTCCCCACGGATGAATCACTTCCCAGGCTGTATGGAACAACAATATATCTATATACTGCTGTCTGACACTAATCCGACGTTATCATACAGTGTCGATAAAATTTTCGCAGCCGCAATGGGTGTCCAAAGAAGGATCCTGAGAGAGTATGGTTCTACCTAGCTGGATAAAAGACAAAGTCTGGGGATGCCTCTTGCACAAGATGACTTATTTGAACTGTAGTAGCAGTATATTGTGTTGAATTATCTACTAATCCAACTGGGGTTTTATGACAGATAACCTTTAATGCATTTCCTTCTTTTAAAAAAAATCTATTCATTTATTTGAATTGAGCTGGTCTTTGACCATACTACAGTTTTATCTATCTGTCTACATAGAAAAATGTTCCTGATGCCTTCTAGCCAGGCTGAGCATTAGAATGCAATGGGCTACAATGAAACATAGAAACACAGAAACAGAGCAAGTCAGAAGGGGCCATCTAGTCTGACCCCAGCTCCAGTCGGCTCCACTCATGACATGCCTTCCATGTGCATATCCAGCCTATCCTTAAACACCCTCACCAATGGGGCTTCAACCACCTCCTGTGAAAGCCCATTCCATGCCCTAGCAGTCCTAACTGTCAGGAAGTACTTCCTGGCATCTACCCTAAATCTTGATTCTATGAGCTTTGCTCTATTGGAACATGTCCTGCCCTCCACTGCAGGGGAAAAAAGGTCATGACCCACCTCCGTGTGACACCCCCTCACATACCTGTATGTCGCTAACAAATCCCCTCTGAGTCTCCTATTCTCAAGGCTGAAAAGACCCAGCTCCCTCAGTCTCTCTTCACATGACTTACCCTGCAAACCAGCCACCCTCCTTGTGAACACAATACTCTGAGGGGCCCAGAATTGAACACAATATTGCAGCTGCGGTCGCACCAGTCGTGTAGAGGGGCAGTAATACCTCTCTTGATTTAGAAGTCACACTTCTGGCTATGAATCCAAGGGTAGCGTTTGCCCTCTTGGCCATCGTGTCACACTGCTGAATCATGTTTAGCCTTCAATCAACCAGCACCCCAAATTGCTTTTCACAAATGCTACTTGTCCCCTAACCTGTACTTGTGCCACCCATTTCTATGTCCCAAGTGCAAGACCTTGCACTTATCTACATTGAACGCCATCCTGTTGTCCTCAGCCCACTTCCATAATCTATCCAGATCTTTCTGGATCCAGAGTACCTTCTCCACAGTTGTAGCCACCACCCCCATTTTAGTATCATCTGTGAATTTGAGCAGCGGACTGTTCACCTCTTCTTCCATGTAACTGATGAAAAGATTGAACAGAATGGGTCCCAGGACAGAACCTCACTGGCTGCCATCTTGATGATTCCCCACTAATAGTTACTCTCTGCTTTCAGTTCGTCAACCATGCCCTAATCCACTAGACAGTGCATCGGTCTATTCCAAAACTCCTCAATTCCTCAACCAGGATATCATGCAGCGCTTTGTCAAAGGCCTTGCTGGAATGCACGTAAACCACATCCACTGTGTCCCCTCCATCTAGCCACTTTTAAACCTTGTCATAGAATTTCATAAGCTTTGTCTGGTAGGACCTGCTTTTGTAGAAGGCATGTTGGGTGGCCGCCAGCCTCCCTTCCCTATAGAGGGTTACTAGATCTCTCGCTATTATGAGCCTTTCCAGTGAAAATAAACACTACTGCAATGAGAAGCTCACTCTTACTAGCAGAACCCTGGAAAAAGCCGGTAGGACCAAAGTCTCTGCCCGTGGTAGCAGAAGGAAAGCCCTGGGAGGAATGGAGTCCAGGAGCACCCCTACGAAAAGGATGGACTGCAAGGGGGAAAGAACAGATTTGTAATAATTGATCATGAGTCCCAAATCCCTTAGGAGGTCGTGCATGACGCATAGCCTCTGAGCAGGTCATCCCTAGAGGGACTGAGGAGGACCCTTGCCACTTGCGGGAATGGGACTGCTGAGTGAAACCCATGTGCCTAGTGATCATGCATGCCTTATGCAGGGTGTCCGTACTCTCATCTGTACAGACCCTCCCCATCAAAGGGCAAGTCCTCAATG